TCCTCTTCCTATCCAAGGTAGTTCAGTGTATGCAGAAAAGGTAGTAGTAACTTGGTAAATAGTTTTCCTCTATTTAAAACTTCATGTGTTCTGGCTTACTGACTTTCAGATTAGTGCAGGACTGGATAGCAAGTGGAAAATCCACGATCTAAAAGAAGCACAGTCACTCAGTAGGCTACTGAAATTGGAATCTTTATCATTGGCATTTCTATAAGTAATCACAGTATATTCCTTGAAATTGGACTCTTCAGTGCTTTATTCTTTTCATTGCCTACAGTATGAGATCAGAACATACAAATAGCTTCTTGTGTCACCTGTTTCTGAGAAGTCCATTCAAAAATAGAATAATTCAGAGCCAGTATATAAAACTGAAGTAATCACAATAGCAAGTTCCTTACATATAGGCAGATTTAAACAAATTGTGTCTAACAAAAAAAGGAATAAATGCTGTTAAGCAGGGTGTTCCACACAACAGTCCATGTCTCAATTCAATAATTGTCCCGACAAGAACTCACATATGGTTACAAAAGCTTGACATGAATTGAACCCTGCATTAATCAGAAAGAAAAAAAACAATTATTCTTGTTTTAGTTTTCTTTTGGCAACTTCTGCAAGTGTTGCATACATTAGCCTCTAATTAAGCACCTCTTGGCACTACCTCAGTGCTTTTTCGATAAGTGGCATTTATGTTAATTCTATCCTTATTAAGCAGATGTCTTTGCCATTCGCTGTCGTTAGGTTGTCTGGGTAGATACCCCAATAAAACAGTATGCAAATTAAATTTATCCTGAGTAAAAGGAGTTTATGGTAATCATAACGCCTTCCAATGAATTTTTCACAGTAGGAAACAGCATCTTCAGAGAATAAATCTGATCTCTAGCATTACAGCTGGTGTAATAGTGCAAGAAAATCATCCTTCAGAAGCCCCACTAAGACAGGGATACCATTTGCAAAATGGGGCTGGGGCAGTTGGAGACTGTCACATGGGGGACCCTGTGATAATGAAAAAGGCAGGAACAGAAGAACACATATGGACATATAATTGGTTTGTTTGAAGGAAAAAGTTCTGGACAGTGCTAAGCATGCAGTTCTTCTGCCCCCGATTATAATCGCTGTCAAAACAGCACCATCCTTACAGAGAGCATTAAATGGACCATTCACCTATACAGTGATTCACCATATCAAGGATTTAAAGAATACGGATTAGTGTGGAAAGCTATGGTAAAAGATAATGAACTTATGGAGAACTTATTTAGAAAGAACTGAAAGAGAATTAATGTATTTAAAATTACAGATCCACTACAATGTGGGAAAATGTATTAGCAGTCCCCCAAAATGTCTGTATAATTATAAACAGTTATTCTTTTTTGGGTACATTATTACAGGCAGTAGTACAAAGAAATCAAAAGACATTAACAAAGAGGTTTGGAACAATAAACGCCAGTCTCAATCTACTTAATAGGAAGCTACAGTAAATTGTATTCAGTCACCTATAAAAAAATTATCACACAACTAGGTTGACAAATTAATATCAAGGCATAAAATCTGAAAAGAGTATTCCTGGAATTACTAATTGACACTGCTTACCAAAATCTCCAAATTACAAAGTACCAAATAAAAACCCCACTGCAGTCTTGAAAAACTGCAAAACAAAAGCTGAGACTTAGAGAAGTCCGCAGGTGGAAAAATCAAACCCTAAAGACAAAAAACAGTAATATTTTATGTCTAAGCAATTTGTAGCTATTATTCCAGGTTTCCAGTTTTGACACTTGCTTTTCTAAACACAGGAAAATAAACTGAATGAAAATGCCTTCTGCCTTAATAACAAACATCTCAGAAACCTGTCCATAAAATAATTTACATGGAAAACCTCATAACTAGGGCCAATATTCCTGTAATTTATGTTAAAGATTGGCAAAAAAGATTATTTTTAAAATTCCTACTGAGATATATTCCCAAAATAGTAACATAGATAAATTTTCTAGTTCATGGAATTGCTACTGCAGAGATAAACATAAAAAAAAAAACACCAAACCATAGTCTACAAGTTAATAAAATTAACAGAGGTAAGAAAAATACAAATCAAACTCATATTGGTCCCTAGCTTGCAAGAATAAGCATAAGAAACAGTAAATTCTGAAGTTTTTTAGCTGTTACTGGTAACTACAGAAAAACACATCAGGAATAAAAAAAAAAAAAATAACCCCAAACTAGATGAGTTCTTTCTTGAAGATGCCAACAGTAGCTGAAAATCCAGTACAATTTGAGTTTTCCATTTTGTTCTAATACTGCAGAAGTTATATCATCATTAAAGGGATTCTTGGTGTTGACTACTGGAAGCCACACAATGCTGTGGCAACATGATCCTGTGGCTGTTCTTATGTATGCCAGGTACTGGCTGATTGCAGAACTGGAGGAGGTGGACATAATCAGGCTGACCTAACAAACGCTCAGTTGCATGTTTTTATTTCTCCTCTCCCTCCCACATCCTTCACTTCTCCCCTGCATGGGCCATTTCTGCATCACAGATTGCCCATACCAGATTTCAGACATAATGGTCTGTTTTAAATAAAAATTTCATCATTAATACTGAGTTGCAATTGTACCTGATAGCCAACTTGAAAAATGTTAGAAAGCAAACAGCAATCTGAAGCCATAGCCCTTTCCATACAAAATACTCTATTCATTTCTGCCACCTGCTGCCTCCTGATACACTTGGCATGTAAGTATCTCATTCCTCTCAGCGTACCTATGTTCTGGCCAAACTCTCTATCCTACCTATGCTACAGCTGCCCGCCTGCACTGTAACCCAGCCTGGTCACAGAGCTTATTTTACTGGCACTGCGCCACCCTGCCATTTCTAAGTAGCATGTACAGCCTGAAAGTACCCAGCAGGCTAGTGAGGAAGGGTACAATGAAGTCTTGTGAAGCTAAAGGACAGCTGCTTTCCTCACTCCAGAAATCTGTCTTTTGCTGTTACTACCCTGCAAAAATACTTTCCATAATAGCAAAGTAAAATACGCTTCTGACTGTAAAAGCAATTAGAGAATAATTCGGTTAGATTCACACCAATTATCTCCTGTAAACATGATAAATAAAAGTCAACAAACCCCACAGTATTGGTTAAGACCCCTTATATCACCTTTAAATGTAACCATGTTTAGGTTTTCCAGTGTGTTGAGTGTACCTCCTGGCCTGCCTACTAAAATTATCCACTGTACTCAAGATTACCTTTCAAGTTCTAATTCAATATAAGCAGTAGCAGCAGTGCCCTTTTCAGTGAGGGGAGGAGGAGGGAGGAAAGACTGATGCGACGTACGTAACTGATGATTGGTGATACCACAGGTACTTTCGCTGAAAAAATTGGGTTTACAATACCCACGGTAATAAAACATATTCAGCTTCTATGGTCTAATCAGTCATTTGTTTCAGTGCTGACATATCATGCAAAAATCTTTTAGCTAATCTCAAGCAAAAAGCTACCATAACTCACAGAAGTAGACAGACTGTTATAAAATCATGAGTTTCCACAAGACATAACCTATCATACATGCACAGGAAGGAATATTTTTGCAAAGAATGGCTACAGGTAAATAAATAAAGTACAGTACATGTTTAGGATAAAAGCTATCAGCAGCTATGAGAAAAGCAGAAATTTATTAAAGATGGGTGAAGCACAGTTGTCCTGGACTGCTAACGATGCACGCATTTTAAAAGTACATTTCCAATGCTTGTTCACTGTCACTTTCAAAAAATTCAAGGTGAATGTATTAATTGATTATATGCTACTGTGAAAATGGCTTCTACAATTCACTGCAAGAGTTCTATTTGAGGATTCATTAAGTTGGATGGCATTAATTTTTTTTTATTTTTAAATAGTTACTGGAAAATATTGTCCAATGTAAGACAATAAATTCAGAAGTCAAATTTTGTTGCCTCTTACACACCATGCATAATATCTAAATCTAAAAACATTTAGGAGTTACTTCAGTAAAATCATATATAAGGGTAGCATTAAATTAGTATACAATAATAAAGCTGTCTGCAAACAATAAAAAGGAATTAGGCTAATGAAAGCAGTACATTTTGTAAACCTCTGCCATTTAAGCAATAAAGGGCTCTGGCAAATAAGTTCCACAAAATCTTGCTGGAGAGATTAATGTTGTCACCAGACCAAACACTTACCCACCCTTTTTTGCTATCATACCTCTTTTACAGGGACAGCAGATGTGGATCTGCTGTGAACCTTCCTTACCACCCTTGGGGTTGGTGGGGGAGTATATTTTTGCTACTCCAGCTGTTTATTTACTTAATATAAGAGCAAGCCTTTACAGCTGTTGTGTCCAAGTCCATACTGAGTACTGCATTGCAGGGATGGAGGGAGAAGCACCCCAGAAACACCAGCTTTAACACATTAAAGTCTTGCTTAGCAATAATTCACTCATTTTCTCTCGAAGGGCTGAGGCATTATGAGATACCAATGATACCGTGTAAACTCTCTAGGAACACTAGCTTGCTATTCTGATAAGCTAAATTCAGTCAGTAGGTAACAGTAGAATTGAAAATCAAATTTCTGAAACAGAAATGTCCAAGCACATCTGTTCTCAAGCAATCATTTTTATGTAGTCTTACATATCAGTAAATGAAATTAATAAAATTCCCTCTGTGAACTTTTCTATGTACAAATAGTGTTTAAACAAGAACTGCTGTCTTTCATTGTGATCCTTACAACCACCTCCACCCCTCTCTTGTGGAAGAAACCACATGCAAGAAATGGCAAAAGAATACTTCCAAGTATCGCTGTCTGTTGAATGATAAGCCATGAATCCACAACCTGCAGTGCTACAGAAACTTACCTTAGGGCATTCTGGAGAATGTTTTCCCAGAAATAGCACCCCCTTCTAATCTGCTGCCTCTTCACCCTCTCTCCTCTCCCCAAAACCCACACCTGTTTCCTACCAAAAGCTTTTAACATGCATCTTCTTGATGTTTTCTAACAGGAAGCAGAAAATGAAAGAAGTTCACATTCACTGACATCAAAGAGTCAGCCTGGGAGCCATTCCACCAGTACTCCAAAGGAGTCTAGTGTGAAAAGAGGGAGAGCAATCTTTGAAAAGATGTCATCAGAAAATGGCCTCAGCAACAGCTCTGAAGGTTAGTTAGCATTACCATGTTGATCTGATGCCTCACTTTAAGGCAATGGTCTCTAAACCTTTCTGATGCTGCACCCCTATCATTAAAACGTTTTTGAGCATACGAGTATATGCATTTATTCACAAACTCTACTAATACATTATGGCAACACACACAAAGAGATATTAAAGATACTAAATAGGGAGGATGGATGAAATTAAAAGAAACATTTAAAAAATGTTTATTTACAAAAAATTGTTATTCTTGAACCCCAATGGATTGTCTTGCACAGCCCCTGGCTTGATATATCTTAGTTTGGAGGTCACTGCTTGACAGTACCAAAGTGTGTCGATATCTGCGTTTCTCTAACAGAGAAAGAACATGGATGATACAGATTTCCGACAGAAAAATCGCTTATCAATTTGTGAGCGTCTAGGACTTAACTTTATGTAAAACAATAGATTACCCAAATAAATAGCATAAAGAGACTTGTCCACTCTGCCATAAAATTAATAAGCCATCTACACAGTATCAACCACTATGACTCCACTCTTTTTTAAAATGAAGCATTTAGCCTGCATGTTTAGGAATTCCAGACTCCATCAGATCAAAGGGAAAAGGAAATTACAGTGCACAAGACCCTTTTTAGCTAACGCTCTTAAGTTTTTTTATGCTCATTGTTCATATTAAACACATGATCTTTTATAGGTTTAACTTTCAGCCATTGGTTATCTTTTTTCCTTTTTTTTTTCTTACCAAATTAAAGAGAATCCTCTTGGAAGGGTAATTGTATATCATAATCAGCCCATAACCTTCTCTTCCATCAGCTAGATTCAGCTGTCATTCTTCATGTGGGAGTATTCTTCTGTGGCTCTTCTCTACATATTCTCAAGTCTTTCAGATACCTTTTTTATAATATAGTTGTAAGGTCCTTTTTGTTTTGCTTCTCCTTTTAGACTCTCCTTTCAAATCCATCCTTTTTCCTAACAGGAGAACAGAATCCTCCATTCCATACCTACTTTGCCTCCGAGTCTAAATTGGAGACAGTATGTTTCAGAAGCATTTTTTTGTCCACCAGGGATAACAAAGAATATGAACTATGTAAAAATGCACAGTCAACAATTCATGCCTCTTACAAATGAAGCTTTTTTCTAAAAATGTGACAGACCCATAGGGGATAATGTTTTTTTGATTCTCCTGTGAGAGCTATAATACCCCATTTTGCATTCAGAGACTCTTATGAGAAGTAAATTCCCTATAGACTCATTTGGCTGTTTGAAAGTACTGGTGAAAACTCTTAAACTTCTAATAGCTGAACTTCAGCACTGAAATCTGCAACTCTGCACTTGAATAAATATTCAGATCCTGAAAAATATAAGATAATGCTGATCCTCAGATTATTTCTCCCATCACTATGAGATCCGAGTTTTCTATAACCAGTGATAATATATGTCAGCTTGCTTCAATTTTTCAGCAAGAAACACTAAAGTGCTATAGAGCTTTTTAGCTAAATGTTTCAGTTATGCCAAAAATCTTTTTTTAGAAGAGGTATCAAGCAACATTCACAGCAAGCTCTATGTCTGAGTACCAATAATTTGTATTTCTCCCCTGAAAAGCAGAAAGGCAATGCTCATACTGCTGTTCAACCTATCCTGAAAACTTAGAGAAACTAGGACAAACTCATAAGGAATAACTAGTGTAGTCATATCATTGGAAAAATACAGCAGAAAGACAGGATTCACCAGTCCTGTCATACACAGATTTGTCAAGCTCCATTTACTTTATAGATTTGATGGAACTTATAGTTAATAAAAGAATTAAATTCTCTGAAATAGACACTATTACATGAGTCCTACATGTCAAAAGTGAACAGGTTTTTGTTGGCATACCTCAGCTTAGTAGACATAAGGCTCTTTTTACAGATTCTTTCATCAAAAGCACACATTTATCTCTGAACAAATCCAAAGATGTTACACCTTTAAGGGCATTTGAATGAGCAAAAGTGTACAGCAAAAGAAGCAAAACAAATGAGTGAAAATTTAGATCAAAAAGAGAAGCTACTAATTTCCTATCCAAATTATAGCAAGGAGTTGATTTGCTTAATAAGTCTGGGAATGATCAGAAAGATGAAAATAAATTATAAAAAATATAAATGTCATTTCAAAAGAAAAAGAAAGGCAGCCAAAACGTCATGTGCTACAACAAAGTAACTGCACACTCAGGAAGACAAGGTGTCAGCAGTGCCAGAATATATAAGAATACAAGTAAACTGCCAATGGCTAGCAGAAAGCACACATCTGAAGTTTCCTCTCTGACTTTCTTTCCTGTTTGGAAATGGATTTTAAGGTTTTAGTTTGGGTACCTACTGGCTTGAATTAAACACATAGAACACGAGGACATGTCTACACTGTTTCTTCCCCTTAAGTTAGTAATTTCCTCAACTTTGAGAAATTCCAGCATATGTATCATGCTTGTGGGGGGACAGGGTGGGTTTTTTAAGACAATTTTGTTCAGCTACAGCCTTTTCCTGTAATTTCAGAAAATATAATTTAAAAAAAACCACACCCCAAAACACCAATGCAGGTTGCAACAGATTTATTCTGGCCTATTATGTAAGGACAAGGAGAAATGTAGGTGAATTTAGGGAAGATTAGGGTGCTCCTATATCTGCAGCACAAGCACAAGGATTAAAAAGTTAGATTCTGGGGGCTTTACTAAAAATATACCTTCTTGAAGTCCTAAAATTCCCTCTCCTCCCATAAAAGGGAGTGTACTGGTTACAGAAATCCAGTGTCATGCAATCCAATTTTGCATGCACTGCAGAAGAACTTCCAGCCTGTGGGATTATATGAAATCTTTTCTGCCTCTTATCACAAAGAAGAAGGATGCTCACAACATACTTTTCTTCTCTGAAACAAGAAGGCAGGATATCTTTATGCTAAATTTAAGGCACTTTTCTGGGTAGATGGAATTCTTCAAATACAATCACATGACTGTAGATAGCACAAAAAACTTCCTAGGGCTAGTAACTGCTGCTCTTTCAGGAGTACTCTGAAATGCTTTCTCCATATTCACTGTGGCTGAATTGCAGATGCTAATAGATAATTCAATAATATTCATAAGCTGAAATAAGGTTAAAAAGTAGGTAGTAATTTAGATAATTTTCAATACAGTTTTAGTAGTAGTAAACCAACTAAAACATACTCTAATGCAGTATCAGCAAACAACTGAATTCTATGGATTCTCTTTTATGCAAATGAATACTAAAATGTACAAAGCTAATTAGAACATAATATATCCAATTGTAACAAGTTATTTCTAGAACTTATACTTTTTACAGTACAAAATAATGCAAATGTAACATTATGCTTTTTGTTATTTCCTCAAGACATTTGCCTCAGTTTCAAAATCCTCGCTGCATTATGTTTTTCTGTACTCAGTAAGTTCCAAATTGAAAGTAAGATAGAGTTGCTAAAAACTTTGTAATACTTCTCCTTTCTACTACTGCCTTTCTTTCAAGACTTGGAAAAAATGTACAGGTTTCCTTAGAAAATATGATGTCCATTTTTATTTACAGTGGGTTCTCACAAACGTGTAAGAGGACTATTTAAAGAGAGTGCTTCCAGGGCTGATAACGCACTGCTGGATGTCCAGGAAACTGTCTCCTTGAAAGAAAGGATGGCTATGTACAAGGCTGCTGTGTTCGAGATAGAGGGTAGCAACTCCTTTGCTCATGTAAGATATCATCATTCCTTACCTTCTTAGGTGTGTTTGCTTTGCACAGTGACATATCCTACATTCTTTATACAAGCTGACTGATGGGGGATCAACATTTAAAACCTAAATTACCAAACAAATCAGCTCAGCAAATGCATTGATGCATCAGTCTGTGTCCCCACTGAACAAGACTTCTCATGATATACACGTTTGGTCATTTGGAAAATCCCCTTTAATACCTTGCAATGACTGTTCTTTTTATTCCACTGTTGCACAAACTGGACTGATTAGAACCACAGGCTTGCAACAGATTACCAGCACAATTATTCTTTCAGCTTATAATAGCAAAACCCAGCTGTTTCTGCATTATTTAAAATATTACCAAATAACAAAATCATATTCAAAAGCACATTAAGTTTAGCCCTCTTGCAGGTCAAACTAAAGAATTCAATTCAAATTGCTGCATTTCAAAATAGCAGCTGTATGAGATAAGGTGTATGAGAAAGTATTGCTTTATAATAAATTAACATAAAATTGGCATTATCTGAAAAATTCTTTATAAATAAACCTTTAAATGTGTCTTAGTCATCTCTCTACATATCTGTCAATAGGAATTAAGTGTTTTAAAGCAAAATTTAATATTAATACCAAGTAGAACATAAAGTATTTGGCTAACAGAATATATAATCTATTAAAATAGAGCAAGACCACTGCACATTTGATTATCAGTCAGGAATGTCTGAAAAAGCAGGCCTTCAGATCTTAGCCAGGAAAATCTGCCTCAGTTTCACAGAAGTACTAAGGACCAAAAGGTGTGTTTTTACTATATCTTAAAATCCTACATGGAAGTTATAGCCCAATCCCCTTGTATCAGAAAATGGAGGCCTGCTACAATGTTAGAATGACAATAGTCTTTATTTATGCTAAATTTTCTGCACATAGCAAAAAATAACTTTTTCTTACTATAAAATAGGGCAGAGCAATTTCTGTAAATCAGAGAGCATAACTGGCAAAAGAAGGACTTCAGCTCAGCTCTCGCCAGCTGGCATCTTTGTCAGTATGCAAGAATCACTATAGGATTCCCAGTCTTACCTGCACTTTGGTTCTTGAAAGAAGCAGTCTGCAGTAGCTGAAGGGACCTTCTGGGTCCTTATATAGGCCAAAGCTACATGGTGAAAACAGCCACCAATCACAATCAGCCAGAGTTCAGGTGTTTTCCAATCACCCAATCCCTGCCTACTAACTTCATTATTTCCTAATTGCCTGCATGTATTTGGAGTAGATTCCTGCAGTTCAGGCTGAGAAGAAATAGAAAAGAACTGTGTGAAGCCTGAGCCAACCTAACTGTGGAACACAGGAACTGCTTCATTTGCAGTCTAGAGCTCCTCCCAGTTTCTTGCTGAAATGGATCTTTGCTTGAGAAAGGAAGTGTATATCTGGTCCATTAAAGGGAATTATTACATTTCCTTGAAGAACCCATAGCTGCATTTAACCCTTCTGAAGTTCTCCAAAGGGCTGGCAAGGTGTGCCTGGCATGTTCATTTACTAAAATAATTACTTTTCACATTCAGATATATCCATGCACACATGGAACTGTGCCATTTTCATCATAGGAAAAAAAAATACCCGTTTTTTATAATCTGCTTACTTACTCATCAGGGGTCAGCACTAAACCTAACTTTGTAACCTTACTTACAAGACTATTTCTAATTATTGGGTGGTTTATTTTCTGCATACTGATTAATAATCTCAAATTCTGAAAGCTTCATTTTAGTACCATCTAAGAGGTAACACATAAGGGACACAACTAGAACAGGGAGCCTGAGGGTAAAAGCACTCTTGTGACCTTCAGTACTGTTAGTGAAGAAAGATCATCTCACAAAGGCCTGCTTGAAACTCTCTGCATGCTCTTCAACAATACCTATGGAAAAACAGAATTTATGATTGTCTGAGTCATTCCCGTAAAGACAGATTACTACACAGTTGAAAATACACCCCAAAATACACCCCAAAAACTTCAGAGGAAACCACTGAGTCCTCAGACACTAGTTTAGGCAAGATGAATATGCAGTTACACCAGCAGGATCAATGTGACACAAGAGCATTTAGCAGCTAATAGATCACAAATATTATCACAAATATAAAATTAAATAGATTTCAAAATTCCAAAAGAACTTTATAATTTGCAGGCCCTAATTTTTGGGTGAGGAGTGAAAGTCAACCATTCAATAGTTAATGTTTACTGTATGTGTGATTCGTATTTTGCTGAGAACGCCTGAAAAATAACTCTTACTATTGTGCCTATTCTGAATGCTAATGTTAATTTATCTGTCAATCCATTAAGTAGGGTTAACAGATTTATGTCAGTGGAAGTTGCCTATAAGAGGCTAGAGACACAGCCAAGTGTTTCCAAATATTCCATATGAAATTTAAAAGCATTATGTAGCATACTGTTTTTAACTACTTCTAAAAAAAATCAACTCATAGAAGTACATTCTTTGTGCAAATGGAAAACTTATTTTATCACTCTAGACTTCAGAGAAAACCAAGTTCTGTACTGTGCCTGGTGGCCTGGCAGCAGTGAGGAAACAATTCGAGAAAGTGCGGACGATGTCTTCACGAAAGACCTTTTCTCTGTACCAGCACAAATCTGTACAGGTAACAATAGTATTTTTAATACTGACAAATGAGGTATGCCCTGCTAGATAGCTGGAGGAAAAAAAATATGATTCTTTGCTTTACTAAATAGCTTTCATTATGACTAAGACAATATTTCCTTAATGTTTATACTCATAGAATTTAGTCTTTGAGATATACTACAGGAATCATGTATTTTTTTATATGGACGAACACTCAATATAGGCAATACTAGATTTACAGCAAATAGATGAGTAAAGCAGATTACTACCAAAGCATTTTTTTTTATACTTAACCTTCTCTCTAAGCCTGTAATTCATTTTCAAGTATCATGGTGATATTTTGCATTTATTGTGCTTGATGTGATGTTAAGCTATTCTCTTTCAAAAGGAGTTTCCTGCTTCCATTGAATTAAATCTAATAAGCTCCCCTAAAAAGATCAAAAATTGCTCAGAACCACCCAGATGCTACATAGAAGTAGAACAAAGCAGCAGCTAAGTGTTATTTTTGATAAAAGGTCTTTACATTGTATAACTTCGTTAGCGTGTGCCATGAAAAATTGTTGTACGAGATAATGATTTGGGACTATGTGAAATCCTCTGTAATAAAATACATTGTACAATCTGTCCTGTGCACTCTGAAAAACAGTAATGGCACAGTAAAGTGCTTTACCATCCATTTAAGCAATATTGCTCTTCAACTTCATAGAACAGGACACATGAACATTCTGCTACAGGTTCATTTTCATGTTAAATGAGTATCATATCTACCCATCATCTCTCATTACTTATACATTAATACCAGTTTCAACAATCTGCACAGACAACAAGAAAAGCTCCAGTTTGTAGGGTAGAAGACACAGTTTGCTGCAGAAGTATTAAAGCATTTTTTACTAAACAAAAATGTCCCATAGTTGGACATAATCATACTGGAGGATACTGCTTGGTAATAGGAAGTGTCATACACATACTTCTCTGGTGACAGGGTCCAACCTAGCTGCCATGTATCTGGATGAAGAAATGTAGAAACATGGATAGAAATTATGTGCCTTTTTCTTTTACTCAGAATCAAATAAGATGCATTTTCCCTTTCTTAACAATGATGTCTAGTTCTCCACCAACCCGTTATGATGGTTCCATTTCTTCAAACAAGATGTGACCTCTAAGTATACTTATCCATGTATTTGTCCTAGGTGGCTATTTGAGGAGGCAAATCATCAGCAGAAAGAGTCACATTCACAGGAAATAAAATCACTCAGATTATATGGAACAATCTTTAAATTTAGGTTAAATAACTTACTGCAAGACCATAAAATCCCATTTCTATCTGACATAACTGCACTCTCATGGAAAATGGGATTATACACTTAGGTAGTTGAAAGATTACTCAAGGTCACTGAATCAATCCCAGGGCAAAGCAGAGAAATCATGTAGTTTGAAGACAGGCCTACAGATCTGGATAAATTCAAACTATTAATCTAAGCTAAAATAAGGAAGCATTATTTTTTTAAACAGCTGGTTTTTCAGCAGCTGAACATTTTACTACATATTCAGTTATTGCAGAAGGAGTGCCTAGCTCTTCATTCAAAATATTGGCATCATATATGCAAATAATAGCTATGTATCTTTCTGTTTTTCTCCAGCAGGAGCTGTCACTCATAGGCTTCTTCATTGTAAGGGAGATTTGTTGCTTGTGAAAGGTGTCATATTATCAGTAGGATGCACTAAGCTCTCCTCCAGAATGGTGAGCAGCAATGCAAACTGGTCACAGAATTTGCCATGTCTTCATCGGGGTTTGTTTAGACTCAACCAGGGTTTGTTTAGAGACCTGGTCTTTAATTTGACCACCTGGCACCACGAGCACCTTTTATTGTCAGCCACTAAGCTAAGAGGTCATGAGCTTCAGTGCTATTATTCTGCAAATGCCAGCCTGAAGTGGTTTGCTACACCACTTAGCTAGCTAGCTGCTCAGTCTCACTATCCAGTGTCAGAAACAAGCCATTTCCCTCCACTGAGGGTCATTCCTGACAAACTTTGTAGGAATGCTAATGTAGCAACTGCCAATTTTCTAGCAATTGCACAGCGTAAGACTGAATAACAGGACAATGTTAGTGAATGGTGAAAACCTTACCTTTTAGTGAAAATCTTGCATATAGTGTCCAAAACACCTTTAGTATATACATAGAGCTAAGCAAGGCTGACAAGTCATAGAGATGACGTGCAGATTAGTGAGGTCTCATGAGAAATTTCTGCAAGAATCTCACAGTACTAATGCACAGATGATACCATGCTAAAAACATAAATAGGTAAAAAAGCATAGCTTTTGAGGAAGAAACAAAGATTCACACTGAGTAAATCATTCATCAGGTCAGTCATTCTATTATTACGAATTATGTAACTGAAGGTTTAAGATCGCAATTTACTTCTATTGCTGCCTAAAGGGAACTGCAAGCTTGTACGTACTGACAGCTTAGAACAGTAAATTCTAAATCTGCCGATACATAAATGATATTGCATTAGCCAGCTTCCCACAGAGTTTATATGACAACCACAATGTACAGTTCAACTAAAAGCTGTGTGTTTCAAACGTGCACAAGTAAAAGGCTTTCTTGTTCTTGGACAAGCTTTTGGGCCATATGATCCCCTTGAACAATACATACATACATAGAATTGTATGTGTTTTATGTACATATGCATATAAAAAGCATTCATAGTCTTAACCTCAAAGCTATTTTTAATTTTTTTTTTTAGGAAAAGCATGTTTTTGTTGTCAGAGCAGTTGGTCTAAAATACACAGAACAGTTACTGAAAATTCAAATCTGGGCACGTTATGCAGTAAGAATGTTATCTAAATTATTGCAAAGCAGAGGTGCTAAAACTGATGTGTGAGCCTCTAACATATAAAATGCATGTAGCAATTACAGTTCTCTTCAGTACCAGAATCTAAATGCCTGCATATAGATGTACTCTTCTAACAAAATGTATACAAACTTATTCCAGATCTACATCTTTCTTTTTTAAATAATATCATTTTAGGTTAGAATGACGATTTATCCAAATATGCAACAGGGTACTATAGTCCTCTGTATTACGTACCACAAAGATATTCATGGAGAGGACAGCAGTCCCCATAAAGGGTGACTTGAAACAAATGGAAGAGAATGGATGGCAATAGAAGTCTGAAATGAAAATAGAATGACCATAAGAAGCTGTTCATGAGCTAATGCCAACAATCATCCAGCTGACGGTGATTTCTGAAGCTCCCTTATGAGACAGCATAGAATAAACAAAAAGTAATTTAAAGGGGATTCTTGGGAGAAGGGAAAAGCAACTGTAATACGTTGTTTTTTCATTCCTGCCGCCAAAAGTGACTTTGAGTTGTCTATCTGTCCTCCTCCCTTGCACAGCTGGAGGGGAGCTGTTTGCTTCTGACGCTGGGATGCAGATCTGGTTGATTAAATAACCTTACTTGATTAAATAACTTTGCTTGATTTAATAATGCACAGTACAGCAGGAATTGTATATGCCACAGAAACAAGGGACCAAGTTCCCACAAGTACAACTCTTAACTAGTTTTAAATCTAGATCATGATCTTCAGCCACAGTCCTGTATTGGAGGCATGATTTATCCTGCTTATTAAGAGTAACCTTAGCCCATGCAGACCATCAAATAATTCTCCAAAACCTATGGGATCTACAAAACATGCCACAAACTCTAATGGGGTAGACTACATTAATTCTATCTACAAGATATCCTATCCCATACCCAACAGCTGGCCATTACAGAGAAGAGATGAAACCACAGGTCTTCCTGCTTGACACTTGTTTGGAAAAATAAACAATCAGCATTTTACCCTCTGTCACTGGAATTTCAATTAGCCATATTGACAGACACACAAAATATGAGAACCTCCAAGATCCTCTTCCTCCCCGCATGTCCAGAGCAAAGCTGTGTATTTATATTGCCAAAATCTGGCCCATAATGTTTAGGATGAATTTCACTCAGCCATAGCTGTTGCATTAAACAATTATAATCTTTTGCAATATGGCAACTACTTCATAAGCAGTACCAAAGTTATAGCAATAAAGCAGTAGTGACATTCATATTAGATTTGCTTCCTGACTACATTAAGCCTAATTATATTCCTTTTTAATACTCCACACCATTCAAAGGACACATAATGACTGTCATGAACATATTTTGTGTCTCATGAATGAGCTTTTACAGTAATGACTTCTTAACTTACATATCTAAAACATGTACATTAGAATAGAAAATCATCTCTTAAATGAAAAAAGCGTATGTATGCATAAATATATTAGAAAGCATATCCATATAAAATGAAAAGGCATACTATACATAAATCAACACATAAGCATTAAACAGAGATGGAAAAATTTGTAATTCGTTTTGTTTGAACTGCCTCTTTTCAACTTGGTGTAGGGTTAGCTTTACATTTCCTCCTGTTGTGCAGCTCCCTCACAACTGTTGCACATACAGAACTTGCGAGTGTAAACCATGCTCTGACTTGCTCTCTCCTCAAGCCTCACCTCACTTTGACAGTTGAAACTTTGCAGTAGATACAATTAATTTTGATCCTGGTATGAAATCATTTACTGGGCCAGGAATCAGAAAATTTATTTTACCTTTTGTTGGTATAATTTTAATGCATCTTATAGGTAAGACAGATGGTTTGGCAGCACCAAGGTGAAACAGAATTCCTAAAGCCCACAAAGGGGATGCATGTTGTTTTCCTGCCATAGAACCTAAGAGCCTTTGCTGCCTACTATGTGGCAGAAATTACCAGTAAGGCAATGAATGCTCCCCTGTATCGATTCAGCAGAAATGTCACCGAAGATTCAAGCAGTGTAAGCAATCCTTAGTTTGAAGGTGGAATAAATCCCATAAATATATGCTTTGCCATGGGATGACTAAGGGAGAGAGGTAATTTCTTGCCCCACAATTAACTGGATTTCAAGGAGGTGCCAGGATTTGAGATGCAGGAAGCTTACTGATCTCTGTTGCACTAGATGTATAGTAGCAATCTCAGAAACACAATTTCACACTTGCATTACATCAAACACTTGGGAAGCTCTTGCTGGAGGAACAAGCTCCTTTCATTTGAAAGCTTGTTATCAGTAGAAACTAGTAGGCAAGCTTCCTTCTCACAAAGGAAGAAAATTTGACATGAGTGAAATTATTTGTTAGATGTTTCTGTGTGCATGCTAGTGTGCAAGAGAAAGGAAGCACACAACTGCTGTCTTGATAACATCAACCTTTAGGATTTATTTCTTCTAATCACTAAATTGCAAAGTACTACATGAACACAGATAATGTGATGTAACACAAGTTCTGTGACAGGCTTTAAATAAGGAAACAAATCACTGCCAGAGTCTGGAGTTGAGCTAAGCATAAGATAACCTCAGAAATCAGTTTAAACAGACATGTTAGACAGTGCTTTAAACTCTCAACAATATGTTCTGTTTGTTACACTGCTGTTGTCAGACTTGTAGATACAATGCCAGCCTGTATATTTTATAGGATGTTCTGGTTAGCCTGTGGGTCACATTTTTCACAACTGCAATTCAGCAAGATTTTTGCATCAGAAGAGCTGTATAAAGCATATGCGGGAAGTCAGCAACTCTTATTACATTTCCTTTTACAAAGTTGTATTAGCCTGCTGACTGATGATAGGTAACAAGCTGATAGCAGAACACATAAAACTGGAAGCAGTAGTCCTAGTCACCTTCACCCCCTTCCAGACTAGTGATACAGTGTGAGTACTCATGCAGCTTTCTGTATCTGCTGGCTAAAGTAGAGCTGCAGTAACAGAAATTGAGATCTTCTGTGTTATAAAAAAGTCTGTTCCAATTTTTATGGCAACAAATATCAATTTACTCTGCTGTAAAATAACTGTTCTAGTTACACCATTTAAATTTATTTGTGAAAACCCTTCATAGGAAAAAAAACAAACAAAAAAAATTTCTAATTTACTATTAGCTATTAATGTGCAATTATTTTTGTCTTTAGGAAAAGTTAAGTAGGAGTCAAAATACCGTATCAAGGAGCACCAGGGAAGCTGAGAGCAATGAAATAACCTCCAAAGAAAGTCAAATGGAAGCCTCTCAAACACAAAAGGTAATCATATCAATTAATAATCATCTCATTGAACAATTATACTGATGCTGATACATATCTGCTTTGCCTCTTCCACCTTTACCCCTTGGTGCAGCAAGATCTGGAAGTTCTGCAGATAGCCTCGCTCATTAGGCAGTGCGTAAGTTTTTAAAGGTGTTTTATTAAGCGGTTTTAATTTATTATCATTTTGACATGGTAATTAATTAGGTTTCCATTCCTATTTTTCTTTATTGGAACATTTTAAATACATATATTTTAAATATTGAGTATGTAAAATTCTTGCATATTTCACTAAACCCTGTAGTAAAGTGAAGGTTTTGTGTACAGGCTTCTCATCGTGAGCAAGTTACTCAAGGGACAAAAATGGCTTCCACATGGAGTCAGAATACTGATGAAACAGGTAAGAAGTGGCAGGAGAATAAAGGCTCACAAGTGAGCAACGGCAAATGTCTTTACTCACACAGATGTGCTGCTCTTAGCATACAAACATGAAAACACACATTGCTCTGAATTCTCTGCAAAGCACATTAATTTCCTTCAATGGGACTTAAGAAATTAGTTTAGAATTTGGGACAGAGATGGCTTTTGCATAAGGAGGTGGCTTAACATATGCATTCAGTTCCCTGAAAAAAGTGGAGACTTGAAGAATTGTCTGAAAACATAGGCAAACACTAGCCCATGTACATACAGAACTGTAGATAAGAAAGGTTTGATTTATAGCTGAACTGAATATCCCTGCAGAATATGACCAGAGTGTTAAGACACTGCTGCTCCTGCAGTTTAGTCCTAGTATTGGAATTCACACATTATATTCCCCCATAGACCTGTCAACCTTTAGCCCTGTCACTCCACTCAGGTATGGCAAAACAGCAGGTGATAGATAACATGTCCCTCAACAACCATTCCGTCACTTTCTCAGTGGATTTCTGTTCACAATCAAGTGACTCTCTAGACTTCTGCAAGGCTACGTGTAATTTTTCTAATGTAATAATGTTTTAAAATCCACTGATAAAGTCAATTTCATAAAATGCAGGGTGGATGAAAAATGATCTTGTCTTATTATTCTTCCCATTGCAGTAATCAATGCAGCTCAGGACGAAGAGCTCCCAAAGACTGTAACACAGATTTTAAAACAGCAGATTGAAAGGACAGTTCAGGAAACAGCTGTTCACTCTGACAGAGAGACTGCAACACCTGCAAAAGAAGTAAAGGTCTGTGTTTTTAATAAGAGGGATTTTTCTTTATGCAAATTAGAAAGGGTGAAATTAAGACATTGGTCTGCCAAGCAGTCTGAATTTCTGTTTTGACTGTGATTAAAGATGTAACCTATGAAAGTGGTGGGAATATATGGACATTAGAAATTAAGTGCATGTAATATGAAATATATTGAAAGCTCAACAAGTACTCACAGCATGTGACAGACAAAATAAGTAGACCTTTATAAAAACTTCTGCATTCCTATCCTCCTCTGCTGAATACAGTCTCTTACTTCCTTGTTTTGAATCTGTAAATATGTATAATTTCTGTCACCACAGATTCCAAGAAGCACAGAAAATGTCACTTTCAGAAGAAATGAAAATGAGCATAAGCCACGCATAACTTTACATTGTGCTTATAATGCAAAGCCTTCATTTGTTCATTTTGATGATTGAAAGTGTTCAATCATCATTCTGCATTTTGCAAGAATTTCACATTTCTTTTCACTGTGCAAATAGTGCAGCTTTTATTTCAAAAGGTCTGTTTTAAGCATTCTGAGCATTAGCTGATGCATTGTGTCTTTCCAGATCTTACTATAAGCCTATTGCTTGGATGCCTGCAGAACTAGCTTTCAACAAGAATAAAAATAAATAAATAAATAAATTTATACGTAAATTTAAAAAAAAAACAACCCCCTTTTGTTCACGAAAGATGGAAAATATGTACCAGGAAATTAAATTGCCTTCAACAGTTAGTTCATCACCCACCTACTGCTACTACTTCAGCAAGCAGGCTACAGGAAACTTCTGCACTAAGGTAAAAAAAGGACAGAACTGCTACTTCTGCAATGATTTGCTCCAGATCCCATGAATATGGAAGCACGGAAAAGTTTTCCACTACAAAAGCTCCACTGGAAATGACACAACTTCCCAGTCCACTGATTCATCCATCTCTCCAATGAAGCACATGGTCTCCATAGATCTGTATCCAAAGCAAAGCAATTTATATGAACTAAGATGTTTATACAAATGTACAAGTAAGAAAACACTTAGAGAAACATTACCTAAGACTTCTAATATTTTATCTGGTGAATCTGAAGCACAGAGTATGATGTCAGATGTGCAGCAGGCTATATATAGCTTTGCCTTCATTATTCAGATGTTCACAAGACCAGAAAAAAAATGCTTAGAGTGGTGGGAAATCTGGAGAGGAGAGGTCCTCTCTGTAAGATGGGTCTTTGAGAACCAGCCTTTCTTTTTAATTAAAGATGACTCTCCAGACCCAGAGCTAGAAGCATTGTAGACCAGAAAACCATTGCAGGCAGAAATATTAAATACATAGCCAGTCTCTTGCACTGCGTGTACATGCTCCCGGCTGTGCAAGAGGTATGGACAAGGCTTTTGCATTAGTTAGAGATGGTGTTCACGCAGTCACTTGGATGTTTGAAATGCAGCCACTGGACCCTATGAATAAGAACTATCACAATGAGCCATATCAGATGAAATTCTTATCCAAAAAGTTCCTAGTGGTGCTGTAAAGAGTCTGAGGCACGTGCTGGAAGCACAGAACCTAGATAAACTTGGGCAGCTTAATCCACTAGATGTCCTTAACTTGTTGCAGCTGAGGTCTGAGCTGAAATAGCTTAAAGGAAGTGTGAAGAGATGCATAAAATATTTTGAACCTCAGCCACTGTCCGTTACCAAAACCAACTCCAGTCAAAAACTGGAGAATGAAACTGTCCACAGAGAAGACAGTGAAAAGAGGCATGTCAGAGTAGTAGACCACACATTTAAAAAGCATCCTTTACTTGTGACCAACAAAGACCTGTTTATCTTTAAAGTGGTACATGGAATCTCAGTGGATGAAAAGATGAGCAGTGATGGGCACGAGGCAAACAGTTAATTGAAACACAGCCTTGGCACACAGAGAATTCAGACAAATTAAATACTGCTGAAACTTCACCACAAAAATCAAAGCAAGATCAAGATCCCACAGAAGAAGCAGCAGCCCCTGTAAAACCACAGCAAAGCACACTTGCTGATTCTAAATTTGATGGCAAGGATTCTCAAGTAGTACAAAAATACAATGTAGGAATCCACACAGATCTCCACAAAGACAAGAAGGCTGAGCAGCTTAATGGAACTGCAGGAAGATGCAGGAACTGTTGTGAAAGCTTCTAGTTGCTATCTCTTCCACCATTATGAGGATTAATGCTACAAGACCTACCCTGAAGAATTATATAGAGCAAAATAAAAACAAAAACATATTAAAAATAGGTATTAAAATTAAAATAGCATTACTGTTGTATTTGAGAAATACTAGCATGCTAGGAAATGCGCACAGAATGCACCTGACTTCTCATGCTTAAAATCAATGCAACATCCTCTTAACTGAAGTAAAACATTGCCTGTATGAAATAGCTCTAGAGATAAAATAATGGTCATGTTTTGTGCACATCTATTTTCAGTTTATTAAAGCAGAAGACGTGACTTAAGACAAAGTCAACTACATTTCAGTGGGTCTCCTGTTTGAGAAAAATTACTGCAAGAGTTTCCAAATTAACATAAAAATTTGCCTGCTCTTCCCTGCTGAGCACTTTTATCAGTGGACACAGCCTTAGTCTGAATTAAGGACAAACCCATCTACCATCAAGAATCCAGGTTTCACATCACTAAGGAGTGTAGCCACTCAGTGTCTCTCAGAAATCTGAGCTACATTTGAGGCTATTTTATAATTAACCATTCTTTGGGGGATTTTTTTGTTTGTTTTTATTGGTGGTTTATTCTTATTGCAAATTCGACATTATTTTGAAGATATTTAATTCTCAGCATTTTTCACAGCTCCATTATGGCACTAGGGATATTTTGCAACTAAAGCTGTACTTAGAAAATCTACATAACTTTCTGTCCTGATTTGTGAATTGCTATAAAATCAATACCAGCAGGCAAACCAAAAGCAGACAGAATGCTGAAAGGGGCCAAATTTTCTGCAGATGTCAAGAGCCATTACTATTGTTAATGAAGATAATACAAGCAATTATTTGATACACCCTATTTGTATTTGTCTGCTAGTACAGTTCTCACAGCAATATGGGAATTGAGACAGAAAAGCTGTCTGCGTTTTTGCAAGCCCAATAGATTATCCATTATTTCTTTCTGTCCCTTATTGGTATGAAATAAAACTTCTATTCACGCTTTCTACTTTACAAAGAGCTGATTTCTTTTATAATTAATTATACTTCATAAAAGAAGGATTTGATAGAGTTGGCTAATATGATTGTAGCTAACTCAGCCTTAAAAATTAACTGAAGAAAGTATCAGCTCTGAAAATGAAAACTATAGAAGTCACAAATAACTATGTCCATAGCATATCTGGGCCATATGAGTGTAGAGTCTGCAGATTACCACAGAAGTAGAACTCCCTCATGTGTTTTTGGCATGATCAAGTAAAACTTCCTCATCAGAATTTCAAACATTTGCCCTGTTTATTGATCTCTAAATCACATTGTAGATTCAAAGATTATACATACATTATACTCAATTCCACTTATACAAGTAAACCTTTTATCATCCTATCTCATTTCACAAAATAAGTAGTTATTAAAAATAAATGGAAATACTGTACCTGGTGTAGTGAAGTAAATAGTCTTTTCAAATGTATGGATTTCTGAAAAGGGAAAGTTGAACAGTATTTCCACTTTCAAGGAATTATTGTTAGTTGAACAAAAAAATGAAGCCCTAAAATTGACAGCTGAGATACCAGTTAATGCATAAAGAAAACTACAGTTTTAACAATTAACAAATGATATAGTTAAAAATAAATCCCAATATGCAGCTTAAACTAACTCATACTTTTTAATATGTGGTTCTAGAAACTGCAGATTCAGGAAAATGAAACGTGCAGACTCTGTCAACAGAGAGTTTACCCAATGGAGTGCCTAGTTGCTGACAAGCAGAATTTTCATAAATCATGTTTCCGATGTTACCACTGTGGCAGTCAATTAAGGTAAGAATTAACTGCGTGTTCGCTCATAGAACTCTGCATCTGAATATAAATGCAGACGGTGAAATTATTTTCAACTAGGCTATTCAGCCTGGAGGATGTTGGGTTGACAGGGAGGAAACCTGCGTTCCCCCTTTTCTTCTCTGCTACTGACACCCGAACCATTATTAACCAAAGGCCTTTAAATTCTCTAAAGAACTGCTTCATCCCACTACCTTCCAAATTCTGCTGCATATTGTTTCCTACTGACTGCTCCAGACCTTCAGGACAGCTCACGAACCAGAAACAGTAGATACAGCAACTTGGGTGGTCAACACAGACCAAATTTCCTCTTACTTTTCCTCACCCATAAAATGAACGATGATGATTCTCTGCATTAGCAAACCACTCTTGTAACCTTTATACAAAATGCAGTAGTTATCTAACAGTTAAATAGGCTAACAGACTGCTTAGGCTAACAGTTCTGACTTTAACACTTTGGAGATTAGCTACATGCATTTCCTCTACTTCATTTAGGAGCAGAATCAAAATATAATTAAACAAAAATTTCTATAATTTGCACAAAGGTTACAGAAAATTGGCACTGTATTTTCTGAACCTATTTTGTAGAAAAATAGAGAATTCAGTCTTTAATAGGATGAAGAAAAAGGTCCTAGCAACCCCAAAGTGCTGTGGAATTTTGCTATTTGAAGCTTATGCTATGCAACAACTGAATAGATATATGTTCTTTCTAAAATCACAAAGCATGATTCTTCTCAATCATTTTCACTTTGAAATTGTATGGGAATTCGCATTAGTTTTAGATACTTTTGTTTTGGGGTACAGGGTGGTTAGAATTGGCCAGTATATTGAATTTGCTCTCTTTCTGTTCTTCCTTTTCTTTATATGTAAAGTCATGTAGGGGCACTTGAAATACCAAGTAAAGTTTAAAATTCACAGTAGGTTTATGATATGTAAAAGTGTAAAACACATTTCCTTCCATTCGGCAGCTTGGGAAATTATGCATCTCTCCATGGAAAAATATACTGTAAACCCCATTTTAAGCAACTTTTCAAGTCAAAAGGAAATTACGATGAAGGCTTTGGACACAAGCAGCATAAAGAATTATGGAATTCTAAAGAGCGATGTAGCTCAGCTGGCAATACTCATGCTGAAGAAACAAATCCCATTAGTAGTATACCTGTTGATCCTAAACCAATTACAGACATTGATCAAGACTTGTACTCAGGTACTGATGGTTCACTACCTGATATTTTGGATAGTAATTTGAAAAAAAACACAGAAAGGGGTAAACTAAAGCTGACATGGCCTCCTTCAACAGGTGAGGTAACACCTAAGAAAACATTTTCTATTGAAGAAGTGGCTAAAGTAAATAAGCCGAAGTGGCCCCCCGAAGGTTTTGCTCAAGAAGGTTCTAATTTAAATACCTATAAACCTCTGGGCAATAAAAAGGATCCTCAGAAAGAAAATGCTGTGAGCAAGCAAAATAAAAATGACACTGCAAATGCACAACAAAATCAACACTCATCCTTCAGTGCTCTGTCTGAAAAAGAAGCCACAAATACCTCTAAAGTAAAGAAAAATGAAGCAGGCGATAAGAGAAAAGAGGAGGAAGCTGGGAATGTGCAAGATAAGTGGAATAAAACAGGAGAATCACAGAACATGGAGGAAAGTGGGAAGGATTTTAATGGAAGTGATAAAGTGATTGTGTATGCTGCTGGGAAGGAGCAAGAGAAAAAAATAAATGAAACTGATGGTTCAGAAGTTGTACAGGTTACTAACATTGATGATGTAACAGTACAAAAGGATCACAAAGAATTCAGCTTAAATAACAATAACAATTATGCCACTTTTTCACACCTAAATATTTTAGGCAAGAAACAACCCTCTCAGCTACAGCTAACCCAATGACAGCATTAAGCCATGCAATTTGCTCTGTATTGCAGCATGCCTTTACAAAGCTGGAAAATCAGTCTGGAAATGAAGAAATATTTGAGATGTATGAATCTCAAGAGAGCTATTGTAGTGATACTGTAACTGTTTCACAGGATGAACAAAACTCAAAAGATGAAGATGCTGTTACCTCTAATAATCTTGCTCAATTTAATAAAGATGCCACTTGTCAGAAGTCTCATATTAGTACATTAAAGGAGGCAACTAATACAACATTGCCTGTTGATATGGAGTTGGCATGCACTGGAGAAGAATCAAAATGTGACAAAAACTTAAACACTATTTTTTTATTTGACACTCTGAAAACACCTTTCCTTAAAAAAAAGCCCAACAACCTGGATTTAGACTGTGGTTGAATACACTGTAGATATAACTAAAGTTCCTGCAGCCCATATTCAAAAGAACATGGGAATTATGCTACAGAACTGAATGATATTAATGCCTGTCAAGAAAGTGAAATAATCAAATTGTCAAAGAATGACATAAATACAAGCTTAGATTTACTGAGCTCAAGATACACAGCTGTTCCATCATTCCAAGGCGAGAAATTCAAGTTCAAACAGCTCACTGTAGAAGAACAAATGAAAAGAAATAGATTCTATGATGAAAATGAACAAAACAGCTAAGTGCTCAGCTACACCTGTCACTCATTATAACGTAAGTCATAAATAGGTATTTCTCCAGTTATTTTAGTCCTTCTTGAGAAATTTAATGTCCATATGAAAATTTGTATTATATACTGTCAATTAGTCAGACTTTACTTGCTCAGTTTATATTTAAGGCAATGAAGATGTATAAAACAGATTTTTTTCTGTCTGTAATTAAAACAACTTGTCTCTCATCACAAGACATATTTTGAACAGCACAAGAAATATTTTACTACATGACTGTCCTGCAGAAGCCTAATAATTCAATTTTATTGTTCATCATTTGTAAGAAACTGAGATGTGAATCACCTAGTCGCGTGCACAAACCAAGAAAAAAACATCTCCATAGTTGTTTTCTTATGTATTGTTATTATTGTAACTGAGCTGTTGCTTCATGATGTATTATGTACATTTGTTGTGTTAGCTCATACTACAAGATTTGGGGTTTAGTTGGGTTTTTGGGGAGTTGCTTGCTTTGGTTTTTGTTTGATTTTTTTTTCAGTGACATGCAGTACTTAGTTTAAAATGGACTCACTGTTGAAAAGTAACTACAACTGGTTGGTGAATAGCACTGTTATGCTCTATTCCTAGAGCTGCTACTATGGCATTATATTGTATGACAGGGAAGGAAAAAAAAAAAAAAAAGACAACAAAAAGAAGTGTGTAAATTTTGACACAGGATAAACCCAAATATCCAGGGCAGAACTGGAACAAAGTTTGGGAACACTGGGCAATTAAGACTAGTGGTTGTTTTGATAACTATTTCATAGTCATTTTAACTGAAGCAGCTCTCCAGTTTCATATTTAAACCTGTACAAACTTACGCAGATTTAGTACTTTTTTCCCTTTACATGTTTATGAATTAACATGTGCTCTCTTAACACTATTCCAGCTTGCATGAAACAGCAAAGTATCATTTAACTGTTGACAATGCATAATAAAAAAGCACTTTACAAAAAAAGTATTTTATGACGGTTTTTTATATGAATTTATACATATGATTCTCCTTAAACAGTTAGTGAAATTCTTCATGTGATAATTAAACTAAAGTTTTGTCAGAGGGAAAGGGCAGGATAATTAAAATACAGTTTTCAAAATAATTTCTGAAGTATCTGACAGAGACGTGTGTTCAGAGTATTTTACAGGAAAGACAGGTTGATGTTAATGAAAACATTTAAGAAATAATTGTGTAGAGCTCTAGAACAAAATATCTGCTGCACTACAACTCATTGCTCAAAGCAATGGGATTGTGGGGAAGTGGATATCCACTCTTCTTCTGTACCTACAAAGAAACAACTATAAACTACACACACACAATATAAGCTTTACATAGTACTTCTTGCACAAGAGTCTTGAAGAGAGTGAATCCTCCTCTTTATGCATCATGCTTCATTCCTTCCAAATATTCTCATGAAATGCAGAAATAGAAAAGACCCCTTAAAACAAATGCGCTCAGACGGGTACTTAGCCTTCGTTCAAGGCACTCAGATACAACTGTATTTGATCACTTTGTCAAAAAACATTAGCCTACAGGCCACTGTGAACATTTTAAAATTATTTTGGCAAGATCCCTCTCTCATTCCATGGTTTTAACCATGATAAATTACTTTTAAAACCCCAAGAAATTATTAAATAGATATCAATGACTTTATTTGCCTTTCTGTGTAGATAACACAACTAAAAATAACATCAACAAAATTCCTTCCAAGACAACAACAACCAAAAAAAATCTCAGAAAATGCAAGCCTGATGAAAACCAATTGTCTAAATGTTTAGAGCTCTACACTGGCTAAACTTTTAAATCTCCCCTATTCCCCAAAATTTCTTCTTGGGTATAAGACCAGTTTTGATCTTGAAAGTGAAATGGTGGATGTCTGTTTATGTGTACGTACATTGGTGTGATAATATACAAGTTAATCATACAAGCACAAAGCTAATATGGTTGCAACATTTGTACCTGAAGTACAGTCCTGTGCCAATTTTCATTCTCCTGCATGTTCTGATTAATTTAAACTTATATCCTACAATTTAGAGGAATGACATATATCAGTTATGATAAAAAGCCCACTCATTTACACCAAGAAATTAATGCCTCTGAAAACATCCTTACAAACTTTTCTGCTTCCCCTAAACAAAACCACCACCAAAAATGAGTTACAGAAAAAAGTATGTTCCCTTTGGCCAGCTAGAGATGAAATAAAGGCTTTGATGAAACAGTAGAAAAAAGCAGGACTACAGGGAAAAATTTCTTTCCAGAGGAAATAATATGTAAAGTCAACATACATAAATGATGTCCTGTATGGGGCAAATCTCCTTGGATATTCCATGGTCTGAATTCTGCTTAGCACGGGACAGACAGAGAAGTGCAGAGCCTTCTTCTAGTGGATTCATTTGCTTTGCACTCTCTTTTATCAGTGGGTGGCTTTTTTTCTTCCCCAAGTAGCAAGGATGAATGGTAAGGAAAAAATTAAATTACATTGCCTAATCATTCATTTGAAACACAAGCCAGGTGTCCCATTATACTGTCTTGGAGTTCTTACACAAATCATGAGGATGACACCCTGAAAACCTCTTCTAGAAAACTGATAGCTATGGGTAATAAAAAAAAAATGTAACAAATGTAAATCATCTGGAGAGAAGGAGGAAAAATAAAAGGAGAAGAGTTCGTCAGAACTTCAGCCAAAAGCTTGCAGCAGGAGTAATCAGAGACAAGATAAGGCTGGAACCCACCAAGATGTGTGTTTGTCCTACTCCCTTTTTCCATGAAGGCAAAAGAGATAGGAGATGCATGAGTCACCCTAATGTATACATATATATACACACACATTACTATTACAGAAGTCTTACTCTGGAAGAGAATGCATATAGGAGCTGAAAGTGAGGTTGCGATAAAAGCTTTAGATAGAAAGTAGCAACCTTACAGATTTTATTTAAATGAAATGTTTTTAAAAATCTTAGCATCCACAAGAGCTATAGTTTTGTGAGACAAAGTTGTTATTCAAAGTTTTAAATATTTTTAAGTTTATCCCTAGCCTTTCCAAGTTTTAATTCCTGAGTTTAAATAACCTGTCATCAGTTTGTAAAAGTCCTACTGTGTGAGATGCTTGAGGGCTCCTGAGAGAAATCATGGCACCAGAGCTCCCGTTCTCTCAGCAGGATAACTTCCTCTGACTACTCCTTGGTTTCTCCTCTTAGCTCCCAAACAGGATATTCAGCAGTGCCCACAAATGGAACGTTACAGCCATGGAGGACAGAGCTGATTCATTTCCAGCACAGCTGCAGTCAAGCACCATTCAACAGCAAAACTGCACTGACAAGTAGCAGCGAAACAAAACATCTCTGCATCATCATTTAGTACAGGAGAGATGCAGTCTGAAATTGTATTTTCACTAGGTAGCAGTAAAAGTAGACATCTTCACTGGCTAGTGAAGATGTCTACTGCTTTTAGAACACAGCAGGGTTTATGTATTCTACACTCCAAAGCACCAATTAGAGAGATTAAAGAGTCTTGCTTAAATGTCTTGTTAAGAAGCTTCTGAACTGCTGGGCCAGCACTGGACTTTAGAGGACTTATAAATTTGCAGTCCCTTTGCAGCTTCATTAACATAATTGGCACAAAGACTTACTTAGAGCTACTTAAATTGTTTTTATAGACGCAGCATATCAACTGATCCCTTTGGAGTCTTTGGCAAGTCAGAGATATCCTTAGAACTGTAGAGGGACCTAAATAACACTTTCACTATAATGCCAAAGTAGACTCCTCCTAGGTAAAGGACTTGCTGAAAGCAAATGCTTGATTACTGCAAAAAGTGTACTTAACTTGTCTGTCTTCTGTTAAGCATTTATCTCCTTCATACATTTTAATAGGCATACCTAGACGAGCACTTTAAAAGACACAGTGTTCAGCATTTACACTAAAGCTATGTTAAGGATCTGCCTTATTCTAACACAGAACAGTTCTTGCAATATCCCTCCAATAAATAATTATAGTTCAGGCCTTATTTTCAAAGTGCAGGATAATTATCAGAATTACTTATATAAGATTTGGGTCATTTCAGTCAGGCACATCTCCAACTGATAGGTATAATTTAAAAAAACATTAACTACCCTGGATACACTCACAAAAACAAGAAAATATGAAGTCAAAAAGAGACAGATTAAAACCTTTGTCTCTTTTCATGTTTTCATCCATTAAGAGGCACCTAAGTGAAATGCTTTGGGTGAACTTTACTGACTTTCACAAGCAGAATTTTACCTTGTATGTGAGTTACATTTGACGATTTTGACATGAAAAGCACTTTTAAATGTTTTAAAGACAGTAACTGTGTTAAAATGGGCTTAGGAACATAATCAGACTGACCTTACTTTTGGTCTTTCTAAACCATTAAATGACAATTTAAACACAAAAGGTCTGACTTTTCAGTACAATCCTTAGACAAAAAAATAAGGCAGCTATGTACTGCTTCAAGAAACAGACGAAAAATTCAAAGTTTTACCTCTCCATGGACCTATATCCTATACCTTCCTCACTTCCCCTCTCTTAGGGTAGAGCGTGGGAAAGCGTTAAGAAAGAATAAAGTCTTCACATGTATTACGAATGTGTTTCTCATTAATTGAGTACATTACAATTTTATTAAAAACCAACGTGAAAAATGTACCACACAATTGCAGCAGGTGATTTTCAAAACCTCATAATCTGGTTAAATTAA